CATTTACCGTTATAGCTAGTCATAATTTGCCTCGGATTAGTTTGAGGCTGTAGTATCTTGACACAGTGGAACTTCAAATACTCCCGTTTCAAAATGAATCCGTAAACATCACTGCTGTACTTGTATTAGCGACATGCTTCAGTTCTTTATTCAGTAGTCTTAATGAGGCTATTGAACATAAAATTGAAGCCAGGCATTCATCCTCCATATCAGCTTTTACCAGTGAAGCTGGTATGTAACTTTTAAATATTTACTGTTCTGCTGAATCACAGATAGGAAAACATAAACAATCTCCATAGCAAATGTTTAAATACAGCCATTTGCAACATCCTAACTCTACATAGTAATCCCTGTTTAGAAGCTAAAGTCTCTTTGAAATGAATATTTCAGTTTGGCTCAGTTGCCAGGAGGCTGGTCTCTGAGCCAGGTACCTATGAGGTTAAGATACACTACAAGACTTAACCTCATATGGGACATTCGAGTGCAATAATGGGTATTATCAGGAGGAACTTTAAACCGAGTCTCCTGTTCAATTAGAAATTAAAGATTTCATTAAACTATTCAAAAAGAGAAGGGAATATCTCTCGGTATCCTGACCAACAATTTTCCAGATAAATTGGTCATTCATCTCCAGGTCTTCCTGTGCACAAAATGCCTGCAGAAACAGTCACTGCACTTAACAGTAATTACTGTGAAGCACTTGGAAATGTTTTGACGAGATAAGGCTATAAAAATGCTAATTCTTTCTTTCGAAGAAGGTGAACAATTCATCAGAAGAACGTCCAATAATATAATTCAAATAAGCGCATCTTTGTTTTTTGAAATTCTACATCAGTTTTGGTATAAACAGAACTGTGTTAATTGTTAAGGGTTATTATTGTGCGGAGATGAGGGCATTCTGTATAGATGCTTCGTCACAGGGTTAAAATACGAAAAATACTGGAAATTTACAGGTCAATCAACATTTGAAAGAGGCAGATAGCTGCACATTCAGTGTATGACCTTTCAGCTGAATAGAATGCTGAATCCTCTAAATGTTAACCTCGGTTTTTTTCTTCCAGACACTGATCAATGCACTGTGTATTTCCAGCATTTGCTGCGCTAATTTGAGATTTCCAGCATCTTTTCACCAGGTGATCTGCCAGCCTCTAGGTGTGAGGTATATCCTATCGTCAGCACTTAAGAGTGGAGCTCTATTTCACAATTGGTGTTTTGACATTTTCGATAAGATCAAAGTTGCATTCTATACATTGATCCACTGCACCTCTGCACTATTTGCCCAGTGAAAGTAATGCTTAATACTCCAATCTAGGATATTTTCAAGAAGAATAAAAAAGAGGAAAAACTAGTCCTTGTGGTATAATGAGAATGAAAGTATCCTTTACACTTGTAAGAATCCCTGATTGCATTAATACAATAGGAAGCCATATTTACAAACACATCTTTACTTCAGGTTTAACCCGATGTAAAATCTCTGTTTACCTAGTAGTAAGTAGGAATCCGTTTGTTAGTTGATTGGTGGATCACTTTTCTGGGAGTAATAATCCCACAAAAAAAATAATAATTTGGTCCCTCAATCCACGACTGTTTATGGGACACTGCTGTGCACAATTGGCTGCTGCATTTCGGCCACAAAGTTCACAGTCAATTCACTTTACAGTATATTCTAAGAAGCACTTTGAGAGGTCTCGAAGACGTGATCAGGCGCTGTATCAAACGCAAGGATTATTATGTAAAAGGTCTCATCAAACCTCTTCAGTCAACATTCCAAAGTTGTCTGAAGAGGTTTTGATGAAACCTTTTACATAATAAACTGACAGGGAGAAATTCCACCTGGGTCTAGACTTGCTCTATTTGCTCGACAGCATTTAAAAGTGTTCAGAATTTGACAACTTCTTAAACACAACTTAAGTTTTGAAGTTGATTTCCTGTAAGTTCTATTGAAACCAGTTTCAAAGTTAAGACTGGATTCAATCAGGTTCCAAATTCTGAATGCTCTAAAATGCTACAGAGAGTAAATTGAAGCCCAGGTGCAAAATCTTTCCTTTCCTACATAACAAGGAAGCACAGATTACCTATATTTTCCTTGTATAGACAAGTTTAGTTTAAACATGTGTTTTTTTTTAAAATGAAAACACATGGAATAAACTGGGTTCTCTGAGGTTCCAAATTGAGTAACCTCAACCATATAATAATGATAATAATCCTTGCATTTGGTATAGGGTGTTATCATGTCTTTGAGACGTGATAATACATACAGATGATGAACCCTGGTAATTTATTATGTAAAAAGTCTCATCAAGCCTCTTCAGTCAACATTTCAAAGTTGACTGAAGAGGTTTCGATGAAACTTTTTACTTAGAAGACACATTGTACCCACACGCACTCTCACCGTAGAGGAGCACACCCTTCTTACCTATAATACCTAAATGAGTATCGGGAGCTAAATGGAAGAATCCCTGCTCTGGGAGGCATGTGCCTCTCCAAGCCCTTCCAATGAACCAGGCTGGTTGATCTGTTATCAGCAACGCCCTGGAAAACTGAGGTCCCACCTGGCACAGGAACCAAAATACCAAGACCACCACAGAGGTTTGACTCAATTCCAACATACTGTTGCCAAGCGCGTCACCTTGGAGCTGCGAACCCATTTACCCCCTCTCCCCCTCCCCAGGAGGATTTAAAACTTCAGAAATCAACACTAATGACATATAATGAGTACTCAGGTCTCACAACTCCAATTAGAACTAAAACTGAAATTATAAACACATCGATAATAGAATATGGAATACACATCAACAAGATAGAAACAAAATTAAGAGAAATATTTATACTATTCAATGTATAATAAAATCATGAGAACCTT